CGAGGGAATTCCCCCCGTCAATCACCCCCGGGGAAAAAAAAAAAAGGGGAAAAAAAAAAAAAAAAAAAAAAAAAAAAAAAAAAAAAGAAATGAACCAACACCCAACAACAGCCTGAGCCCTCTCAAAGCTCTCTACCTGCAGCGCTCGCAGCACTTCCCAGCGCTTTTCCAGCCGGGAAGGGAGCAGGAAAGGAGCCGGGGATGGGACGGGGAGCGGCAGCCACGGCCCCGCCGGCAGCCGGGGTGGGACGGGGCCGGAGCCCGCGGGGAATGCGCGGAGTGAGGGCAGGAACGGGGAAGCGCTGCCTCCTGCCTGCCCCGGGCGCTCCCCAGCTCCACCTGCAGCATCCCGGCACCGGCACCGGCACCGTGCCGCGCACCCCGGGCACTGCCACGGCCGGGGGCGGTCGCGGCGCGGATCTCAGAGGCCTCCAAGCCCACCCGGCGCCCACCATTGAGGGAGGGTCCTTCCTCCACCCCCCAGATCCGAGGGACACCTGCAGCCCCCCTGAGCCCGCGGGTGGGGCTCCGGGGGGGTCACCCGAGGGAGCAGCCGGGGAGAGGAGCCCGGGGCCGGGGAGGGATCCCCGGGGCGCGGCGGGGTGGGGCTGGCGGAGCGCGGGGGCGTCAGCCTCTCTCGCTCATGATTTAATAATTTAGGTGCGTTTCAGTGCTCAGGGAAGCGAAAGATTGAGGGCAGTGTCTGGAGCCCGGCAGCGGTGCAGCCCCTGCCTCTTCCACGCAGCACAGGGGGTTTGGGGTGGGGGGCTCAGCTCGGGGTCCCCCGGCCCCAGGACGGCTCTGGGTGCCCCTTGGCGAGCTCCGAGCACTCACCTCCACCCCAGCTCGCTGCCCTCGGCTCCTGCCCGTCCACCCACGTCCAGGGCCGCCGCTCCACGGCCACGGGCAGAAACTGGCTGCACTGGTTTGCGCTTCGCAACGCAAACCCCCACCCAAGCTCAGGTCTCCAGCGATAAGAGCACAATAACCTATTGTCCCTCCTCCCCTCCCAACATCTCCACTCGCCTCTGGCCGGGCAGAGAGCGACCACCCAGCTCCGCACAGCCCCCCGCCCCCGCCGCCGGGCAGCCCCCGACCCACCGAGCCAGGCCAGGGATGCTGGGAGGCTCCAGAGCCGGGGCCGGGATGCAGGGAGAGCGCTGAGGGCAGAGGCCGGAGGAGGCAGACGAGGCCAGAGCCTGGCCGGGCTTCCAATAGATTTCCTGATTTATTTTTTAATTTATTTTCCGCCTCCCCACTCCTGTTTTCTCTGCCGTGGCTCTGCCCAGCTGGATTGGTGCAGGCAGGAGGGGGACGTGCCCAGCCGTGGCGTGGGCATCCCCCACGCACCTCCCCACCGCATCCCACCCTCCCCACGCGCCCCCCACCCGAGTCTCCCAGCTCCAGGCAGGGAGCAGCCCCCCTTCGCTGCCCCACGGGTGGGGAAAAACCACCCCAAACCCACCCACGCAGCACCTTCCCCGCTCTGTCCTTGGGCTGCCGCAAGCCCCCCTCCCTTTCCCCCGCCTCTTCCTTCCTCCATCATCCTCATCCTCCTCCTCCTCCCCGCAATGCCACAACTCGCTGCCTCCCAAAAAAATCCAGCACCACGCGCGGCCGGCAGCCCCGCGTCCCCCGCCGCCCCAAGGGCGGGCAACAAGTTGTAGGATCCGAGCGGAGCGTCCCCTTCTCCCCAAATACCGGGGGGCTGCCGGGCTTGCCCCCCACGAGCTGTTTGGGGGCTGCACCCCCCGCGGCCGCCCACGCCCCGGAGCGGCCGGACCGCGGTCACCCCATCACCCCCCGCCTCTCCCACGCGGGATTGGGGTCTGGGGGGGTCCCACGCTGAGCCCCCCCCATGATTTAGGAACCCACGCCAAGCCCACCCCTCCCAAACCCACCTGCTGCACCGGGACGGAGCGGGTGAAATCCCCGCTGCCAGCGCCCCACCCGCCCCGGCAGAGCGCTGCCAGCGATGCTCCCACCCACCCGCGCCCCCCGCCCCTACAAAGAACCCCCTCGCCGACCGCCCCACGCCGCTCCCGCGTGTCCCCAGCGTGTCCCCCGGCACCTCAACCCCCCGCGGGACCCCCCGTACCCCGCTGCCGGGGTCCCCCCGCGCACTCACCGGCTCCGGTCCCACCGGCTGGCGGCGGAGCCCCCGCGACTGGCCATGGGATGGAGGGGCAGCGGTCCCGGAGCTAACGGGAGAAAATGCTTGTCATGGCAACCCCCGTGCCGTGCGGGGCCGTGCGGGGCCGGGCCGGCGAGGGAGGGGACGGCGGGCAGGGAGGGGGAGGGCTCGTCCCAGCCCGCCGGGGGAGGGGCTCCCTTAAGGTGGCTGCACGCCCCGACGGCTGCTTAAGGGGGACGGCGAAAGGAACGGGGTGAACGGCCCAGCGCGGGGGGACAGCGGCGTGGGGAGCCCCAAAACAGGGCGGGAGCCCACGGGCAGAGTGGGGGGTGCACGCTTGGAACACCCCCGGGGCAGAGTGGGGACACCCCCGGGGCAGAGTGGGGACACCCCCGGGAAGATTTGGGGCACCCCCGAGAAGATTGGGGACACCCCTGGGCAATGTGGGGACATCCCCGGGTAATGTGGGGACACCCCCGGGCAATGTGGGGACACACCCGGGACGGAGTGGGGACACCCCCAGATGATGTGGGGACACCCCCGGGCAATGTGGGGACACCCCCGGGCAATGTGGGGACCCCTGGGCAGGATGGGGACACACTGGACTGGGCAGCGGGTGCACCCCCGGAAATTTTGGGGACCCCCCAGGACAAGAGAATGTGCACACCCCAAACGGTGGGAGGACCCCACGGAAAGAGTGGGGCGTGTGACCCGAAATAACGTGGGGACATCCCCGGGCAATGTGGGGACACCCCCGCGAAGAGTGGGGACACCCCCGGGCAATGTGGGGACCCCCCCAGGGCAGTGCGGGCACCCCAAAAAGCGAGGGCAGCCCCATTCCCAAACCCCTCCCCACGCCATGTGTGGGGGAGGCAGAAGGAACTTCATGACCTGCGTCAAAATTGGGTTTTTTTGTGGGGTTATGGCAGTTTTGGGGTCTGACCCACCCTGGGAGCGGCTGTCCCCTCATGGGACAGCATCACTTTGGGGTCACTGTCACCCTGAGAGCCACGAGGGTCCAGCACGACCCCCCTCAATCCCAGATCTCACCCTCACCCCCTTTTTTATTTTTACAGGAACCGGCATCAAATTCCTCATGGAATCCTTCCCAAAGCACGAGAACGCGGTGGCCTCGGGGCCAGCGGGGCTGGCAGGGGGCACCTTAAATCCCCTCCCCGAGGCCCAGTTTGGGCTCGCAGCGGTTCCAGTTAAACCAGTGGAACGCCCGTGCGGGCACAGCCCCTCATTAGCGCTCCCGAACGGATTTTTCCCCCCTCGAGGGCCCGCACCTCCAGAATTCCACATTCCCGAGCGCTCCCCGGCCGCCGCGGTGCTGCACAGGAGCCGGGCTTGGAAACAGAACCCGACCCTGGGAATTCCTCTTTCCCATTTTCCAGCAAAATCCCTCCCTCAGCTCACCGGGATGGACCTTCCCGCTCAGCTGAGCTGATCCAGGGTTTTTTTGGGAGCAGGGAATGTTGTTTGAAGTCACCTGAGTGACATCAGAGCTGCCCAGCTTGGGTTTGATTCCATCTCCGCGTCCTTTGGAGCACGACCTGGCCCCGAGCTTTGCTTTGAGAAGAGGGAAATGCCCTGGACTGGGAATTCCGCCTCAATTCCTCCTTGGCATCTTCCTGGGGAGTTCACAGGGTTATTCCTTCTGAAAATAAAATATTTCAGGGGCTGGAGATTCTCGTGACGAGACAAACATTGAGTCTCAAAAAACAACCTCTGGCCTCTTCCTCTGAACGGCTCCGCGCTTCCCCGACACAAAAAAAAAACGGGGAATAAACACACGGATTTTATCCCTACAGCAAAATCAGCCAGCCCTGACCAGACTGGTTCCCCGTGAGCGCAGAACAGCTTGGAAAAGAGGTGTTGGAGCAGCTGGCAGGCGCCACTTCCAACGGGCCGGGATGCAAAACTGCTATTGAGACATAATGGCCTTTTCCAACAGGTTCTGGGAGCTTGGAAGGAATCTCTGACCATCTGGATTCGGGCTCCTGGAAGGAAATCAGCCTTCCTGCCTCAGGGAAGCCGTGTGAGCAGGGCAGCTCGGCAGTGCCGGGGATTTGCAGCCTCCTCGGGCTCCTGGGTTTGGGTTGAAACGGAGGAAAAGCAGGTTTTCCACCCGGGGAGGGAGCAGCCAAAATCCATGTGGGAAATGTGATTCCCACGCAGTGACGGGAGGCGATTCCAGCTCAGAGACACGAGCAGCCCCGGAGCCTCTTCCAGGCCGTGTTTAAGGAGAAGCACATGGAGGGTCACGGCCGAGCCAGCACCGAGCTGCAGAGCGGAAAAATTCCTTCATGGAATATTTTGGGACCCTTTGTGTGTCTCTGCTGGTGCCACCTGCTCCTCCTGGTGGTGCCACCACCCCCGGGGTGGTGACAGAGGTGTCCCCACCCTGCGACCGGAGCAGGAAGGAGAAGGATGTTCCCCCCAGGGAAGTCCCTGCAGGGCTGTGCTGTGCCTTCCTCCTCCTCATCCTCCTCGGATCATGGCTGGATTGGTATTTATTGTTATCTGTTGGTATTTATTGGTATTTATTCCCTTTTCTTCATAGCTCTGGTCAGGGATGCGGGGATCAAACCCCCTTTCGCAGCCGGGAACCCTCTCCTGGATGCAGGAGGGATTCCTGGCTGGATTCTCCTTGTTCCTTGCACCCAGAACCTGCTGCAGGCTCCTCTGGATCCGCACCACACCCCAAATAAAAAAATAAAAGTCCTCTCCCTTCCCATTCCATGGAAAATCATCCAGACTCCCCCAGTGACCGGCAGCGCCCGAGTTCTCCACCAGGGACCTAAATCCCGATGGGAATCTCCGCTGTTATCCCGATTTTTGCCACCTCTTTTCTTCTCCCAGCGCTTTTCTGGAAGGCAGTGCCAGGCCTCGAGGAGACCCAGCAGCACCAAGGTAAAATAAATAACCCCAAAATAGAAAAAAGTCTCCACCGGGCTCTTCCCTAAGAAAAAATAAAAATAATAATTAAAAAAAAAAAATATCCCGCTTCCCTGATGATTTCCCTTTAAACCCAGCCTCTAATATTTGGATTAATTTGCCTTTAATGCCTCCCAGGCTGGGAACTTGTAGGTGGAGTTTTTTTAGCCCGAAAAATGAATTAAATCAGCCGAGTTGTATCAACCAAGTTACAAACCCATCAAAACCCGGGGCCAGATCCTGATCTCATCCCCGGAGGGGGCGGAGGGGGTAAATCCAGCGCCGCTGGAAGACGCGGGGAAGGATTTTTTTTGTCACGGTGCCGGCGAGCGGAGCTCCGGATTGGACCCCCCGGGTTTCTCATGGAAACACTGAGTGACTTTTGAGCACAAGGCAGAGTCAGGCGTCTGTAAAATCTCTCTCCATTCAAGGGCTAAATATAGGGGGAGAGAGCGCCAGCGCTGTGGCTCGCGGTGCTCGGGGATAAATAAACCCTGGAAAAGCTCTGCCGGGAATGCCGGGGGTCCTGGGGGTGCTGCGGAGCTGGGGATGCTCCCGCAGCTGCGGGAAAAGGGATTTAAAGGATTTTTTTTCCTTCCTCTTCCCCCTCTCCCTGCTCATCCCTGAGCTGCAGCACCCAGAGGTGCCCGTTCAAGGCTGGGATTCCTGCCTGGAATTCGGGATGCCAATGGGAAAGGTCCCATCCCGGTCCCATGAGCATCCACAGCGATTCCCTGCTCTGCTCCCGGCTTTCCCCTCGCTCCAAAGCCTTTGGAGGCCTCAAAAAAAAATTCCGGCAGCCACGGAACTGCTAATTACCCATCACCGCACTAATGAACCTCTCCTAGCCCATTTCTGCTCCAAATTACTCCAACAGCCCCGTTAATTCCTAATTAAGCAGCTCCTTCATCAAGGGGCTTGACTGGAGAAGCGAAAAGGCGAGAGGAGGAATTTGGGGATTGGGAGGGATTTTTTCTTTATGGCTGTAACTGGATGATGAAATTGTTTGCTCACCTACGGAATTCATCCCCAAAGTGCCTGTGAGTCTTTTCCTTCCCCATCCCTGCACATTCCCGCTTGGAAGCACGGCAGGGTTGATAAATCTGTGTAGGGCCTGTTATTAAACCCTCAAAATTCGCGACAGCTCAGGAGGAGCCTCTGGGCTGCTCCTTCCCGAGCATCCCTGGGTGGAAATAAAGGGAATTTCCAGGATGCTGGATCCGTGCTTTTCCATGGATTCCTCCCGAGCAATTCCCAGGGAAACAACTCCAGGGAAAACCCCCCCGAGATCCTCCTCTCCCTCCCTCCCGAAATGAACATTTTTCCCTCCAGTTCCGACCTCGTTTCATTCCTCACATCAAGGAGGAACCTCGTACTCGGTGTTTGCAGCGCGCTAACAGCTCGGGGACCTTGGTGGGCCCGAGGAAAGTCCCCGCTGCCGGCGGTGACAGCGCGGTGGGCGGTGCTGAAAGGGAGGGGAGCGAAGTGACAGAGAGGGAAAAACGCTCTGCCCGTCACTCCCGAGCTGTCAGCCCCGAGCTGGCGAGGCGGAGGAGCTCCCCAGACCCACTTTGGGGCCGCTCTTCCCTCCAGGGAAAGGTGCTGGAAGGGCTGGAGATGCCCTCGGTCCCACCTGGATGCCCCGCAGAGCGCGGGGCTGGAATCCCGGGATGCCACAGCAAGGGCAGGGATGACCCCAGCCGGGCCACTTTTGTCACCTGCACAGAGCTGTGGGGTCGGGAGCAGCTTTCCCAGAGGAGCAGATTCCCAAGACGCTCCCGAAATCCAAAATTTGGAGGCCAAAGCAGCGGTGAAAACCCCAGGGGCAGCTCCCCGTGGTGTCCCAGCAAAGCCACCCGGAGCCTCCGGACGTTCCCGTCCTCCAGGATCCTCCGGATTCCTGCTTCTGGAAAGGTCGATTTTTCCCCCAACCCCACCTTCGGGTCCTTGGGGGACGCTGGGTGACAATAAGGGGACATCACCGATGTTGGTGCCACAGGGCAGCGCCCAAAAGATGGGTGAAATACCCAAAAGAGGGGTGAAATACCCAAAAGAGGAGTGAAATACCCAAAAGAGGGGTGAAATACCCTAAAAAGGGGTGAAATACCCTAAAAAGGGGTAAAATACCCAAAAAAAAGGAGTAAAATAAGCTAAAAAGGAGTAAAATAAGTTAAAAAGGA